CTATCCCCCTATCTCTTTAAAAGAGTTTCTTAGTTGCTCTGTTTTTATAAAAAATTGCCTTTTATTATGAAAATTATTTGGTTGATTAATGAATTGAATTGAATTTTATTCACCACTTTCATCAAAAAACATGCAAAGTCAAAGAATACAATAAAATATTTCATACAAACATATAAAAGCCCCCAAAATGGAAAATACACTAAGAGCAAATTATACTCTAAATTATCAGTTTCATGCCTGTTCCGGAATATCATATCTTCCTAAAATCTCTCAATATAAGGTGTACAAATCGATGCTTCGTGCCATGTGGGGGTTGGTCTCGAACATCAGATCTTCGTCATATTTGTAGATGAAATACATGTAGTATGCAAAATCTCATGAGAAAAGTGATTGGAAGAGAATACACGAAAGATTGTGACCTAACGGAGAAACGATACCGAATCTATACGCATTAGATCATCGCAGGGGTAATATCTAGGATAGTCTTAAAGAAGGAAAAGAAACTATGCAACCATGGTAACTACTCTCCTTGTATAATCTTCCCCACAGCCCTACTCGTGTCATCGGATGCAAGCATGAATGAGACAAAGACTTGTTGTACGGACGGATTCGGCCTGAATTACACCTTACCAATGTTCTTTGAGTGTCAGAAGAAAGGACATCCTAATGGCAGTATGGTGCAAACCATCCCAAAGCTTATCCCTAATTCATTCGAAGAAGGCAGTTGCCTCAAAAGGAAGAGTAAACGTGATGTTCCTCCTGGACATCGAGTCTGCAGATTCCCGGGTGATTGTTTTCCCCTCTTGTTTTCTCTTAAAATCCTTTGGGGAGCTTTTCTACTATTGTTTGGACTTTAAAGACCCTATCCGATGAAAATACAACTTATTAACTGAATTAATGTAGAATTTAAATATAAAGGAATAACAAGTATTTATCCTTTTATTATTGCACAAAAGAAAATTAAAACCTCATTTCCGCGCCCCTCCAAATTACGGGGGTCACTCACCAGGGGTCAAATTTGCCGAAATTACAGTGACGACATAACATGTGGACTCGACCGGTTCGCCTATAAAGTTGAGGTGATGAGCCGTTGCTTGATTAATGCACAATCATTGAGCACCCCACATAAGACGATGTCATCAAGTCGATGGCAAGTTTTCAGGTCCACAACTTCCGATTTTCAATACTTTAGGTTTTGTGTTTTCAGAGGGCTGACAGACACTGAAATGGCATATAATTGATATTATTGTAATCTTTGGCTCATAAGCTTTCCGTTGATATATAATTCATCCATTTCATTTTTCAGTTCGGATATTGTCCTTAAGAAAAATAACGATTGTATCTAGGTATTCTAGGAATAAATTAGTAACTAATATAACTATTTTTTGTCTTATTCAAGAAACCCAGAGTAGTTCTAAAACAGGGGTGCAGTTTTGTATTTCATTAATTACATGCTTATTACATTATGTTTGCAGACTGCGACATGAATCCATGTGAAAACGGCTGGTGTGAGGAGACTATGACCGGATATAGATGTCACTGCCCTATCGGATTTCAAGGAAAACAATGTCATGAACGTAAGAACAAAGATAAAAACTGCATTTCATATCTTTAGGGTATAATGAAACCATCCAGCACGATGCAGTATACCATTAGAGACAAGTAGTTTACTTTTCCTCAACTTTTCTTTTGGCTACGATTGGGTTTTTGAATGAAATGAGCTTCGGATTAGATAAGAACTTTAAAAATGCAAATTGACCAATCTCCTAATGCTATACTCGAATCTAGGAAGATACAAATCGTTACCGGCATTATAGTCTCGTAACTGAACTGACGCGGGTGGTCGTCGGTATGAGGCTGCAAGGTGAAATGTTTGGAAATGTATATCAATATTTTTTTTCTCCAACGTTCCTGTTTACTTTTTTAATTTCACCAATGTTATCTATCAATCTTTAAAGAAGTTGACTCAAATCCGCCTGCAACGACCCCGGGAATTGTTGTTACCTGTGTGAAGGATATCACAGTAACCGTCGAGCTTGGTACTCCGAATAAGTCGGTAGAGTTCATCTCACCATCGGCTGTCGATAGAGAAGGAACTGTCGTCCTGGTCTCCCATCAGAACTATAAATCAGGGGATGATTTCCCAGTTGGGTCAACTCTCGTTGAGTACATCTTTGCTGATGAGAGCGGAAACCAAGCATCTTTTTGTACCTTCAACGTCAACGTCAATACCGGTATTAAGAACTGTTTTGCAATTTGATATTTTTACTTACTGTATTCACTGTATCATGTAAAGGGATACTTGGTATTAATGAGCACGCTCTTTTAACACTTTAATTTGAGAAAGGTGGAGAGATGTTCGGGTCAATACAAGCAAAACAAATGAAATTCATGATTCGTCAACTCAACCGTTCCATAGAAGGTCAATATGAAATGCTCATTCACTTTTGAGTCCGATTTTCTGAGCCCATGATGGTTTGACTGGATAACAGACCATAATGCATTCTTATTATGTCTTGATATCACAGTCGATACCACCCCTCCGGAGGTACAATCCTGCTCTTCTAACCAGACATTCTCGGTTCTCAAAATCACCACACCAATCACTTGGACACCACCAACAGCCAGTGATGCGTCTGGAATTGCCTGCATCGTCGCCAACTATGAACCTGGAGTTAATGTCTCCGTGAATAGCCCCATTAGCGTCATCTATACTGTGACTGACAACAGCGGCCTTTTAAACACAGACTGTTCTTTCAACATCACCCTCGTATCTGTAGGTATGTCATGTGTGAATTTTCTTTGATATTACCTCAAAGATAACTGTGCATAGCCTACAAGTCAAGAATTCTAGTAAAAGCGTAGTTTAATAATAATTTAATAGCCAAGTCTGTCACTATCACTGTTTCACTCAGTTCAATGATGAGTCGAAGTGACGCCTTTGTAGAAAGAATATTTTAACATGTACGATAGCAACTAATTTCGAAAAACCAACCAAAGCGTTTCCAATTGCCTTGTGCGCCACCTATTGAAATTGCAAACATGACAATGATGTATTACGTAATCAAAACATGACAGACAAAGAATGTACAATATAAGATATTGAAATTGCGCTTGAGTTGATTATTTTCGAAAATAGTTGCGATAATGTGTAGTGGTGTAATGTCATTAAATCAAAGCCTTTGAGACCCATGAACACGTACTTTCGCCACCTAAATTATTAGACTTTTCTCCTCAACCGGATAACTTGATTTTGTATTGAGGATTGTCGCAGGCTACTCACGCTCCATGGTGCAAAATAGATAAAAATTAGAACATCTAAATGCCTTTTTACTTTCTGTCTAAAGTGATTCCATACCTAGATAAACAAAAATATAGCCCTTGTAGACATGTGGACTTCCTAAACAGATTCTGATGCACATTTATCTTCTTAAAGCCCTCAAAAATAGGTGACCATTTAGACAAATATTATATTAACAGAATTGACCACAATAGAAGATCTGACGATAAGTGACTATCCTCAGAGATATATCTGTCTTGAAATCAATTCCGTCACAATGTTTTCAATGTTCATTGGTTTTTCAGAGACGGAATGGGAATGCACGTCCTCGAAATGCTACGGCCGCCGCGGCGTTGGTACAAGTTGGCTAAATTGTCAGAACGGTCACGATTTCTGCCCAACCCTTGGACCAATAACCACGGCTGCAGGAGACAGGACACCATCCCTCCTATTTGCAGATACCGAAGAAGTGACGTCCGGGGTCGCCTTAATACTCAAGGGAAATTCTGCATGGATTAACTGTAATTACATGGAAGCCGAAGGGCTGTTCATGTGCGACGTTGATGGAAAGGGAGCAGCTGTGCAGATTAATTCAACCAGTAAGTTTAATCTCGATAATTAAGCACAGTTTTGCTAAACGCAATTACGCCAATCGAATGTATTTCCAACCTTTGAAATTACATTGGTTGTAATTTCTGCAACATCAATAGTTAGCAACATCGTAATATTTGTTTGCTGATGCAACGTACACATTGGTCTTAGGATTCACACCACTGTACTTGATTATTGTTAAAGTTCTATTTTGAACTGGAATTTTCATAAAAGAAGATACTCTTAGTTAAGATCAAAATATAACATAATCCTCTATCTCCCCCCAAGTCTTTGGTGCAAAAAGAAACGAAAGGCTAACAGTGCGAAAAAGACTTAAAATAACAACAATAAACGTGAACGCGGACCAGGCTAAAACGAAACCTAACACATGACGGAATGTCATCAAAAACTGGCAAAACAAGAAATGCAATAGCCAAATATCAGTTAAAGAATTAAAGACATAAGGCAAACTGTTCGAGTGCCAATGTCACATATCATAGTCTGAGTGCCAGACAGGTTTGGCTGGGCGACGGGTAGATCGCCTAGGAGGAGCTGGCCCGTTTGATGGGTGTGAGCGACGGCAACTGCGTGTCGACAGACCAATGGACAAGAACAACCACAGATGGGTGAAGAAGACGACGGGGCAGGCCATGGGACGTTCCAGAAGAAGCGGCAGGGGTAGTTGGAGCTTTCCGAACAGGGGGCATGACAGGTCCCGGCTGGCTGGTGGCAGGGGTGTCAGGGCATGTCAATGGTGGCACCAGGGGTAGGGCTGTCAAAGGTCCTGAAGCGGGATCCCCAGGCTGTACAGTAGAAAGCGGCAGGGCCCCTAGGTCTGGCCGCAGGACTGGCTGTCGAGTACTCGGACGAGTTCTGCCAAAGTCACCGTCCATCACCAAAAGAGGGGGCGCGTGTACACTGAAACATACTGTCTCAGGAACTTCCTGTTCCGTAGTGTAACTCTCCCGGAGCCCTCGACGCGGATCACGTATTGGTCGAACTGGTGAACCACGACAACGACCCCAGTCTTGTCCCATTTAAGGGGGTGGGGTCACATCTGGTTCTGTATGCGGCATGGTCACCAACTGTAAGGGGCGGAAGTAGCTTGGTTTACTCTGACCAGCGTTCATCACTTCTCATGTGGTGATTGCGCAGTGCATCTTCCCGAGGTCTCACGCCAAATGCGATGAGGCTCGTATTTGCCGGGCGCCACCGGAATGAAGTCCCGAATAGGATGGCCGAATACGCACATGGCGGGCGAGAGCTTGATGTCCCTGTCAGGCGTGTTCCTGTACTGAATCATCGCACGTTGGAATGCGTCAGCGTCAAGGGCACCGGTAGGACTGTTGTTGTCCAGGAGAAGGCGCCTGATGGTGTTTACACCCACTTCAGCGGGGCAGTTGCTATGGGGGTATACCACGGAAGAAAGGCGATGATGGATACCCCAGTCCTGGAGGAATCGACGTGTGGCTGCTGCTGTAAATTCGGGGCCACCATCTGAGGCCAGCTCGTCAGGGATGCCGAACGTGATAAAGATGCGTCGCAGACAAGCGGTGAGGCCATCTGCGCCGTGGGTAGACTTCTCAACTATTGGCCAGTTGGAGTATCGGTCGACGACAACCAAGTAATTGCAGCCTTTGTAATGGAAGAAGTTAGCACAGATACATTGGAATGGGTAGACCGGGGAAGTCAGCGGAGTTGGCGGCGAACTAGGGTTGGACGGCGCAATCTGATTGTAATGGTCGCATCTAGCACGAAGGTTGGAGATGGCAGTGGTGATACCGGGCCAGAAGACAGATGCCTCTGCCTTGGCGGTCATGGAGGTGACCCCTTGGTGGGGGATAACGATGCGGGGATAAATCCATCAACTGTATAAAGATCGTCCAGAAACTGGAAGTAGTCATTAAGGGGACCCGGGAGTTCATGCCGGAAGGCTGGTAGGCCGGACTCAACTAAGCCAATGAGGGAATGCATGTCCTCGTCGCTGGCTGTGGCAGTACGCACCCTGTCCAACGTGACAGATTTGAGGTGAAGGGAGTTCAGGGAGGACACAGAAGACGAGAGAGTTCCTGCTTCAATTGCGTCAGCATCCGTGTCAGCGCGAAAGCCAGCCATGAGTGTCAGGGGTTCTGTCAAGTTGATGGAGAAGGACCAATGGTCGCGACATCGGCAGGCCGGTGTAACTTCAGAGGTACACCAGTCGGGTGACGTGAGAGGCAGTCCGTTGCACGGTGTCGGACACCTGGGACATGGACGATCCGGAACCTGTATCGCAGGGTTTTCTCTTTCAAGTTCCTCAAACGAGGGTTGGGGATGTCTGCTAGGGAGCGGTCAGTGAGGATCTTCAGAAGGGGCTTGTGGTCGACAGCAAGGATGGGGTCCTCATATCCAAGTACGAAGTATCTGGCCTTGTCTAGGGCATCAGCCACGGCGAGGGCCTCACCTTCGATCGGAGCACAGCGTGATTCAGCGGCGTGCGTGAACCTGCTGCCTACAAGCGTGATTTGCCATCCAGAGGGACAACAAAATGGTTCCGAGGAATTGCAGGTGCAGTGTTTCCGGAGAAGCCAGAACCAATGCCATGCTTTGACCAATCTGTAGCCAGGCAAGTGGGCTTGCTCGGGTCAAAGATCATCACACCTTCCTCGATTTCATTTGCGATAATGGCTTTGGATTTATCAAAGGCACTCTTGAGGGCCTCGTCCCTCGTGAAGGCTGTGGTGGGCTTCAGGAGCTGGCGGAACGGCAGCATCTTTGCAGTAATACTGAAGGCATAGGACACTTGATTGACAAGCCCAAACCAAGAGCGCACGTCGGTGACGTTCTTCGGTGTAGGGAAGTTCAGGATGACCTGTAAGTATTTCTTGCATGAGCGGACACTGTCGGGTTTAATCTCAAATCCAGCAAACTCAACAACATCTGCGCCCAGCACGAACTTGTCAGGGTTGAGGGTAACGCCATTCCAACCGCAGACATCCAGCCACTCGATAGCTTGGAAGTAGCTATCCGCCAATGTGTCCGCCCACAGCAGAGCATCATCCACACATTTGGTTTTGTTGTGAATGTCCGACACGATCTCATCGTAATTAACGTCTTGTGTAACCATCGCCGGAGGCAATGTATCCTTGAGGGGCCGTCTTGTAGCGGTTTCTGCCCCAGGGGGGTAATGAAGATGGTCAGGTGACGGTCCTCTCTGCATAGTGGCACGCTATGGTAACCATTCCATGCATCAAAGACAGTTTTCTTCTTCTGGTGTGGACCAAACGAGCCTGGTAATGGCAATGGTGTGTGGTGTGTCTCGCATGTAGCGTGGGCGTTGAGCGCCTGGAAATCGACAGTTCGTCTCGGTGTGCCAATTTCCTTTGCGCAAATTACCATCCGATGACACCAGGTAACAGGCTCGCCAATGGGGACCGGTTCCAGCACTCCCAACTGCACGTCATGATCCAATCCTGCTTTCACGGCATCCCGTCAGTTGAGTGGAACGGGTACTGGTGTGTGATGCGCAACTGGCTCAGCATCGGGGTCGACCATCACTTTCAAGGAAGGGTTGGCCATGAGGGTCAAGACTTGATGTTTACAAATATTGAATGTGCTCGATTGGTAGTACTTGAGGAGGTGCTGTTGTAACTTCATACGGTTGTCATCAGTGGCAGGAAATGGCAACTGTGTCGGAGGTGGGGGAGGCCGTTGACGCCTGGTGCAGTCACAAGTTTCCCGGAGCCATCTTGGAGGCCTGCTTGTGTCCCTACCTGGTGTGCGGACTGAGTCGTACCCAACGTAGGGAAGGTATGAGGGAAGATCCCTATAGGGCGATGCATGGCTCCTTTCTGAGGAAGAGTTTTGTAGTGGTGTGCATCTTCATTTCGACCGGTAGGAGATCCGATTGACGAAACCCAAGGTGGCGAATGAATTGATACCAGCAAGGCAGCTCTGGCACCCTGTGTCTGCAATTATAGCAGAAACCGAGGAAGACACTATAGGGGTAGATAGGTTGAAACCAAAGGCAGTGCAGTCATCGGGCACGATCCTGATGGTCACGAAAATGAATGGCTGGGGCAATGACAAATTCTTGAGCCACGTATTAGTGAGGTAGTCAAGTGTGGCAGGAGCAATGGGCATCAAAGATGGCATCATCATTATCACCTGGGGCACCGGGTGACGAACGTTTAGGTTTGTCCTTGCTGCGGCACACGCTCTCCATGTGATTGGGCCTATCACAATGTGTGCATCTATGGCCATATACTGGGCACCGAGTTTTTTGGGTGCTGGCCGGGGCACTTTTCCCGTGTCCTCTCCTGCCGCAGTAACCACAAAGGTCCTGTTTCTCCTTAATAGTTGTCACATTGGCTTTCCTGTAAGTGCTGATAGCCGCGTCCACTGAGGAGTTGAAGTCCAGGAGCGAGGAGGCTACACGGGCCACCATAGAGTTTTCCTCACGGACTGCCAGCTTTTTGATGGCCGCCAGAACATCGCCAACGGGTTTGCCAGTCAGACTACAACCAGCTGACCTTCTGAAGTCTCTACGTAGGGGTTCGTCGCAGCATTCGAGCAGCTGGATAACCTTGTCCCTGCCGGTGACCTTTGTGGCCGCGACATAATCAGTCCATCGAGACATGAAGTACGCCCATTCTTCACTTGAGCCAGCCGCAGCAACTGTAGGACGTTTAACCTTCTCCACCTTGGCGGCAGGTCCAGCGGTGTGGAAAGCGCTATGGGCAGTGATTAAGGCAGCTACGATAGTAGTCTCAAGGTCCGGGGTATTGTAGTCACACCCAGGGATGGGGCAGTCGACACAAGGCATGGTTGATAGTCACCGTGGTCATATATAAGATTTGGCTATTTGTATCAGTCAATCAGTAGACTTCAACAATGATCACGGTCTGTAAACAAATAAGATAAAAGAAGATACCCCGAATTAAGATCAAACTATAACATAACCCTCTACGAGTTCCGCCGCCGCAAAAATTTCCTTTGGCAAAACATTGATCTACATTTGCTACACTCCACCCAGGTGAAGTAAATGGTAGGAATCCATTCCTTGAAATGCTAGAGCGCTGTATGACAGCCGTGCTAAAGCAAGGATAATAATCGAGAGCGCCAGGAGGGACAAATCTGACTGACATGAGTGCTATACAAGAACCCATTATTATTTATTTATCATTTATTCAAAGATTTATCTAAAATGTAGTGTCTTTACCTATGAATTAACTGCAGAACTATTTTTCATGAAACTTGCATTACATTGCATTGCAAATCCACGTTCTCGTATCTCTGTCAAATTGTTACGAATAACTGCGCTTTATAAATGCATGTATAGTATTACATGTATTAACATTATTAGCTGCATCATTATTACCATCGTTGTCCTGCATGGGAGAAGAACGCATAATAATATAATAAATTATGTCTCCCTTTCAGATTGGGAAAGCGGTCAGCCACGCATCTACGGAAATGAAACTTGTGTTTCACTGACTGGACAATACAAATGGCGTGTTATTCCCTGTCATTATGAGCTCTACGCCATCTGTCAGATCGTCTTATAAAAGACCGTGGGTGATTTCCCGTCCAGAGGAATATTCAGGCAAATAATACACTGATTGAACCAGACTGGACTAACGAATATGCCGAAAGTATATACAAACATCAAATTCGTATCAAAGAGTTTGCTTTGTCTTTATTATTTTGTATTCCTTTTTTATCTCTCGAATGTATCCGTATCATTATCATTATCATTTGTTCTTGAATTTAAAGATAAAGTTGAGTTCTGGTGATGCGATTGCATTGTGCAAGAAATGGCTTGGAATCGATCAGGAAAGGTTGATCATGTGGCATTTAAGTATTGGTGCGTACTGTAAGGTTCTGGGGTCATCAAAATGATAAGAAATGTGGCCCAGTCTTGGTAATGTAACAAGCACTGTACACAGAAAGGTGTATATGGGACTACACAAACATATGGCATAAAGATCGGTCCTCATTTCTAAGCTGTTACTTGTCGTGTTTAGAATATCAAGGCATTTGCGAGCCATGTTTTTCAGGGGGAAAAATTATCTGATGTTCTTCCACACTCATTATGATAACAATGATAACGCTCACAAATTATATTTCACCTCTCCCCCGAACTCAACCTTCTCTTTAAGCCTTTTTCAGTTTAAATTTACACTCGAATCCATATAGCTCTCATTTTCAAATGATATATTAATCCATTATTTGTTTGGACTCTATCTGGGTTAGCAGGATAGTTGGTTGTTATTTGTTTTAAAGACAGTATTCACCTTGTGCATGTAGTATATATAATGTAGTACTTTGTAATTGTCATTAATACATTCTGATATTTTCTTTAAATCAAAGAAGTTACAATTTATCACTTATTTAATAGGCACTATTAAGTAAAATTTCAAAATGTAAATGTTAAATGAATACATAAATATTGATTGATCCATACTATCTAGTACTTTTACTTATTTAAAAAAAAATATTTTCACTTTATAACTGTAACATAAGAATTTTTAAACAAAATTCATTTCTTCCCCCCAAAATATCATATTTTCACCATATAATATGAAATTCATTTCCCACAATACGGCAGCTTTTTGGGGTATGTTTTTTGTAGTTTCCTTTCTCAAATATTGAATTATGTGTTCACACTCAATAGTGAGATTTGTATTTCTTCCTGTAATCGTAAAAGTTTCATGGATTATTACCAAACAAAAAAAAATTGTAATTAAGCTCGTGGCAAAGCTTTATATGTGATGAAATATAAGTTCAAGCTCGATTTTGTATTGCATGGAAATAGTGAGGTGGTTTTAGATCGCTTTTACAAATCAAGGTTGTGATTGGTCCACATGTTGTCACGTGATATTGATTGCGAATATCGTAATTGGCATAGGTCACTCCCGGGGTGGTATTCTGAACATTGTTGTAAGTATTGTGTTATCTTTTGTTGTATTTCCCAGATATAACACAGCGCTAATATTGTTGTAAGTTGGTATTCTGAAAATCATTTTATCCCTGTGTTATCTTTTGAAGGACCGCCTCTATCTTATTTTTAACCACTTTAGACACGCCCATTTGTATGGACCCTACCATGATAAGCATGATAAGTAGGTCAACCAATAGGAATACTCTCTGCCATATCTGAAGATGCGCCTAGCCCACACTAATCTTGGGTGTAATTAGTTATTTTATAACTTATAATGCGCGTCACCATTTGCGCTGTGGCATGTGGATCATGAACACAAGTCACGCTTTCAAGATGAGAGCATTAAAATCGTCATATTCTAGCATGTAATTTCTTAAAAAGTTCTCATCTGTGAAGTTTCTGGTCAAAATCGCTTTTAAATAATAATGTTGCACCATGTAAAAAAGGAAAATCAACCGAGATTATAAATATTGATATTAGGAACATCATTAGTGTTATGATTATAACTATTAATATAATCATTAATAATCTTTAAATCCATTCATAAAATAATGTCCGATGTATTGATATTCGGGGCACAAATGAACGAAAGCCCCGAAGATGTAGTCGCTAATTATTCATCGGAATTTAGCAATTCTTTCGGCAGTCCAAGTTTAAACAATTTTTGGGACTTCGTGCACTTTATCCTATATAAGAATTTTATCAAAATTCAACAAGAAACAAATATAACCTTTATGTTAGGATGCGCAGCAATGCGAGTAAGAAGTTTGCAATATTTTTAACCTTTGAAAACTCAAATGTGTGATGTTATTTCTCGGTTAAAATTACAAGGTCATCATCAAGTAACTTGGTACTTTTTTTCTCATGCACTTTACCCTGGATTGTGGCAAATAAAAGGCTTAAAAGCAACGATTTTCATGTTGAGTCCCTTTCCTCTTTTTTCGCCGCCTTGCTCTGTGACCCCTACTAGAGAGATACAGATACATATAAATATATATATAAACATTTATAGAGAGATATATTTAATAGGCCTAAACACACACACACACATATATATATATATATATATATATATATATATATATATTCCTATCTTTTCTCCCTCTCTCTCTCTCTCTCTCTCTCTTTCTTTCTCTTATATGCATATATATATATATATATATATATATATATAATATATATGTAAAACTCTCTCTTCACCTCCCCCCCCCCTCTCTCTATGTATAAATGTATATATATGCAAATGTATATTTACAGTATATATAATTGTTGTATATAGAGAGAAACAGGTATATAGAGAGAGAGAGAGAGGAAGAGAGAGAGCGAGAGAGAGAAAATATAAACATAAATTATATGTATATTTATGTGGAGAAAAAGACAAAGAGAGACAGAGAGAGTGAACAAAGGGAAATAAAGAGATAGTGAGAAAAAGCAGATATAAAATAAACGATTATACATTATGGTAGACGCTTCGATTTTGAGGATGTCTGGCTTCTACTAATACAGTTGGTTTTGGAGTTCCCTGTGTGTCCTCTCAAGATCAAAACATACAAATGTTGGACTGACAGAGACGTCCACAGGTTAGGGAAACAAATTCTTATATATACAGATTTGTGCTGTTGTGTTGTGCCTCGTAATACTCGTAATGATTAAGAATGATTTCATTTATTAAAAAAAATAAACACTTAAAACAAAATAAGACTGAACGACAGAAGCTTGCTATTATTCTAGCTGTCTCCGTTGAAAGGAAAACGAAACCATGTCAACCCGCTTAAAGGTAGACTAGTTCTGGTCATGCGATTGCATTATGAAAGAAACGTTGTGGAATCGATCAGAAAAGGTTGATCATGTAGCATATAAGTATTGGTGTGTACTGCAAGGTTCTGGAATCATCAAAATGATAAGGAATTTGGTAAAGTTACAAGCACTGTACACAGAAAGATGTATATGGGACTACGCGATATCTATCCAGCCCGGATAGATATGATCATTTACCAAATATAACAATTAGTAGGCGGTTTCCCGGCAAAATTTATATCATCACGTACTAGTAAAAACATATTCTTTCACATGATTGGTAATAAGAGCTTCCATTTCATGTTTTTGAGAGGGGGGCGTTTCCAAAACTGGTATATACCTTTAAGAGAAAGTTGAATGTTTTATATAATTAGATCACTACTCTATTATTCATTGACCATGCCTCAGCTGTTAAGGGATGACGAGAGGATAGGGCATGAGCGAAACAATGCAAGGGCGTGGCTTTCATCACAATAGAAACGATTGAACAGGGGTCAATTCAATACCCCCAGACACAACAGACAGACCGACACCAGATCGGAACTAGGGAAGCAAGTTCAAGGTCATGTTCACTTTATTCAACACTTTTATTTGCAATTTAGTAATGTAAACAAACGTAATAAAGTTTACAAAATAATATCAATGTATAATGTGAAAATAACACAAACAGAGAAGACAATCATTAACAAGGAAAAAATAAATCATTACATTTTCGGCGAGAAGAAAGTCCGGGTTCAGTGATTGTCATTTTTTTTCAAAATAACTACGTACATTATTTCAATTATTGATTATTCAATAAAAGAGGGGGAAAGAGAAATAATTTACTTACACATATTCACTCTCTCACAGTCATACACACACAAACACACACTTATTGTAATTATAATTACAATATAAGTCATCAGTGCAATCCATTTAATACGTGTATTATACATTAACATGATGTCAGTGAACTTGTACTCACGAGACGATGCCGAGATTCGAGTGCTGATAGTCGAAGGTTAACCAAATACCCTAAAGTAACAAGGATGAGAATGACACCAGGGGTAGGGGGGGGGGGGGGTTCGTGAAACAATTAGTCGGTGGTTTTCACCGACTAATATCATGTTCACCGACAATTCTTTTGTCACCGACTATTTTCCAGGCCTGTGATTGGTCAAATTTAGTCAGCGCTGACTAAATTGTCGGTGAACATAATATTAGTCGGTGAAAACCACCGACTAATTGTTACATGAAACGCCCCCCTGGAATGGCTATATAGAAACAGGGTTTAATCACCATTGTTATACGTCAATCACACTGATGATACGGACAGGTAACACCTATGAGAGAGAGAGAAAGAGAGAGAGGGGGGGGGGGGTGGACACCGGCCCTGACAGACAGGAAATGAGATCATTATGTAGAGAGGAAAGAGAGACAAAATTATAAAGGAGGAGAACACGAATGAAGGAAAGAAACAGATGGGAAAATACAAGACAGTTTATACTCTTCTTGGTCAATATGTAAAATGGACTGTGACGTCATGCATAAACACCGGCCGTGAATGGTACCGATATTTTTGCGGCCAATCCCTTTAAATATACAAATAATACTAACAACTGTAAATTTCTCCTTGAGAATACTCGTAACCATTGTGTGATATAATATGAAGTAGAGGGTGCGGCCTATTTAGTGTAAATGCTTTTTAGTCTCAATTGAGATTTGTGGCGTCACAATAACAAGTAAACACGCTTCAATGGAACTGAATGGATATTGGATAAAAGTAATACACATACATCCCAGCGTAAAGACGATTTGTGTGTATGTATTGCTTGTGTGTGCTAACCCGTGTTGTAATACCTTCTCTGTGTGTGTGATCCGGCTGGAGGCAGAATTACAAAAGAATGTCGGCTGCCGAGATTTTTCTCTTCTTTCCGATCCCCATTGCGGGGGGAAATAAGATTCACTACGGTGCATGCAAGTCGTACGCAGTACATGGGAGTACATGATTGTATACGCTTCGAACGCAGTACCGGTACCTCAAAACTTTCCTGATCTCTCGCTTTCGCTTTTCCCGGATCTGATTTGAACGCAATCGGAAACTCATTACTGCATTATATCATAATTTCATTACCTGGTGATTTATGTTGACAAGGAGAATTAACGCCGCTAACCATCAGACAACTGTTGGAAGTACATAAGTGTTAAGCCAGGGGAGTTGGTAAGTTTACTTGTGTTATACATTATTTGGATTCGTGATCTTTGCAAGTTTGTGGTATATTTCGATCAAGGAGTTGCGGTTGGCTCAGTCGGTAAATGTCTGCCTATCGGACCAAAGATCTCGGGTTCGAATCCCACGCAGGTGGGTGACTGAAGCCTGCGTTTTATGTTAACGTGCCCCTCCCCTTGTTTCATAGACGCAGGTTAAGTAGTGGAAGACACTCCGTCTCTCGGATATGACGTTAAATGGAGGCCCCGCGTACAATGACAATGACAATTTATTCTCATACAGGAAAGTCACCACACTTGCACGTTAAGAACCCACTGCACTATTCGTATATAGTAGGGGGGAAACCCCGGTGTATCGGTCCACCTGCACACCCGCAATCAGGCCGAGTATACAGTATGATAAAAATCATGTAGTGCTTAAAAAGTCGTATTTGAAGAAATTGGAACACGTTTTATATCACCGAGGGAAGTAGTGAATGAATGGATGGATTTGTTAATAAGCAAGTGGCAAGACGGGTTAATCTTCTGATGTAAAGTGGAATAGTGCTTTCGAAGCAGCCACTTTAAAACGTTTTGCGATAGATGAGAGCCTGGATGTGGGAATACTTAGTTTTTATTATAGTTGTGAGTTTTTGAACGCAAGTTAAAGAGCTGGTTTGGAGGGTGTTTTAACTTTAACATTTCACGCTCACGTATCACAAGTCAAGCAGAAACGTGTATCGTTCTACTCAGCCCCGTACGCAGGATTTTTTTCAAAGTTAACATTTATAAATCGGTCCGAAAATTTCGCAACGACTCAGCCGACCGCTGAATAAGCGGGGGGCATATTTTTTTTTTTTTTTTTTTTTTTTTTTTTTTATAAAAAAAAAAAAAAAAAAAAATCAAAAGGGGGGGGAGGGGTTAGGTTTTTTAGGGGGGTTTACATACATAAAAATTACCTAAGGGGGGGGGGGTTAACCCCCCCCCCCCTACGTACGCGCCTGGTTCTACTAACCTTCTTCGATCCATGAATGTGATTATTACAGGGGTCATCCATGCATTTTACAAAGATGCCAGAGTTCAAAAGACTCTCTCAGAATCTGGGAGGCAATAAAAGGGATTAGCTGATCTTCTTTGTTATTACCATCGCTGAGGAATGTTTTTAAGCCGTTTCATAGAAATAATCTTACGATTAACCTACAGTATGTCGAAGGTCTGTACGCCTATACTGCTCTCGGTACATAATTATTATGACTGCATGTGCCTGTATTTTTCTTCTTCCCTGATTCCTATTTCGATATCTGATAGCCCCCCCCCCCCCCCCCCCCCCGTGAATGGAGGGATACCATATCGTGTCCCCAAACTCTCCGGCTCTCGTACACCGGACTTATGCTGAAAGGGGGGTGCTGGGAACACGCATATGCGTACCCTTAATAACACTGATTTGGGGGCCGGGCTCTGATTCCTATTTCGACATCTGATTTTATTCTAATGAGGAGGGGTTTTCCACTTTTTATTCGATGTTTCTGTCTTTTAAGTGGTTACAAAGAAAAGCCATTGGGTAAATTTTAAATTTTTGACCAATTTTTAGGAATAGATTCCTACTCGATCGTACTGGTACATGTCAATAAATACACTGTATGTCTGTTTTCTTCTTTTTCTTGATTCCAACTTTGATATCCGACTTTTTCTTGTTATGAGGAGGAGGTTCCACTTTATTTGATCTTTCTATTTTGTATGTCTGTACAAAGAAAAGCCATTTGGTGAGTTGGACGAAAATTAAAGAATGCACATGTGGATATAACTGTGCCTGCATTTTTCTTCTTTATTTATTTCTATTTTGATATTCGATTTTTGTTTAAAAGAGGAGGGGCTTCAATTTCATTTGATATTTCCGTTTTTTATGTGGGTACAGAGAAAAGCCATTGGGTAAATTTTGGCTAAAACATAGGAATAGATTCCTACTCCTACTGGAAACCTGGATATATATATACACTGTACGATTGTGCCTGCATTTTCTTCTTTTTCGATTCCTTCTTTGATATCCGACTTTTTATTTCAATGAGAAGTAGCTAGGTTCCATTTTATTTGATCTTTCTATTTTGTTTGTCTGTACAAAAACAAGCCATTCGGTAAGTTTTGACGACAATTTAGGAATACACGACCGTGTTATTGTGGATATAACCATGTACGTACGTACCCATGATATGACTGTGCCTGTATTTTTTTTGTAATGTTATTTTGATATCTGATAAATTATGTTGCTTAATGGGAGGAGATTCCATTTCTTTTATATATTCTCCTTTTTTATGTGTGTACAAAGAAAAGTCATTGGGTAAACTTTGACGAGATACTTTAAGTTGTGCACGTTATCATAACGTGTAAAACTTAAATTAACTAATGTCTTTGCTTTTCTTTCAATAATGTAAACTGAGCATTGTGGAAGACCAGCATTTGTATGTGTTTCGTACATTTACTTTTATTATAAATCAAATCCTCGTTCATTCATTGAAATTGTTTGCTAGCTGAAAAGTCTACTACAGAAATATATGTTAAGTCATTTCGGGGGCTACTTTTCAAGCTTGCTTGCATGAAAATAGCACTCTTTAATTTGTTTTGCATTAAACTCTATGCAAATTTTTTTGGGCCCTTTTATGACTTTCGGGGGCTCTTTTGGGCATTTCGGGGGCTAATTCGTCCCGAGCCCCGTGTATTTCCCCTGGTAACTATATAAATTAATACATAACTAAATGACGAGGGGCGTCCATTTGTTACGTGTAGGCCTACATAAAAAAAAACACTGTGTAAATATATATAGGTATAATTTAAGCGGTGTGTCAATAAAGGATTTACAGTAACCTTTTCAAATGACAAGGAGAACTCAAATAGTTTTGATTGAACACTCTGAAGTAGAGTATAGAGTCAATAAGATCTGGGGTCCGTTTCACAAAGCCTTTTTTCAATGACAAATGACAAAAATGAGTGACAAATCTGCTGATAACTAATCAGAAGCAAGGATTTCAGTAGCTTATAACAACAACTGTCATTTGTCACTGATGACAAGTTTTGTGAAACGCCCCCCTGGAGACTACAAGAAAAGGTTACAATAATTACCATGAACCCGTGACATTTCGAATTCAGTACACAATACAAACAAAGGATTATTGATATAGTAACAAATCGTTGGCTTTCAAAGGAATGTACAAGTGGAGAAGGTAAACACGGTCTGGGTGGATTTGTATTGCTTTCAATAAAATATGAAAGACTAACGAATATCGAAAATAATATCGCTCGTGACATCCGTTTGTCTCGCAATGTGTGGTCAACAAGGGATCAAAAGATCACGACGTTTCGTGCGCCGCTGCAACACTTTGTCAGGTATTGTCCTGCTAATAAGAATTTGTTTTGATGAAACGAAAACAAAACTAAAAGATATTTAATTTATATGAAGCAAGAGAAAAGAATGTAGATAAATTCGAGAAAAATCAGTAGAATAGTTACGAGTAACATTTAAATCAAGAGATGGATCAGAAGTGTCCTAGGCGTATTTAGAAAATGTTCAGGGAAGGGGATATTTGAAGGAAAAACAGTTTTGTTGCATTGAATTATTAAATCAACATCATCTTCATCATCATTATAGTCACCATGATGTGTGGGGCAGGTTGGATATGAGCAGCTGTATAGGGCCTTTGAGGGAGTTTTTAATCCGGGGGGTATTAATCCCTTTTAATTACTTAATCCTTTTTAATGACTTCCATAAAACAATAGGGAAGAGGAAATGAAATTTAACGAGCTATTTCCGGTCAGGATGTGTGTTAATTAATGCAGGTATTTCCTGTCAGGATGTGTGTGAATTAATGCAGGTAGTTTTTTCATGGAAAGGGTGGCATCTGGGTCATAAAACTTGAATTATGAGGGTCTTTCCTCTGGAGGAAGTGTTTACATCATGAGTCATCATCATCATGGGAGAGGTCTGGGGATGGACGTGTTACTGGTAGGACGGGCAATGACCAAATGACCAAAACAATGGGCCTGTGCCAGGTATGTTGTTTGTACGCAGGTACGTATCCGAGCAATGAGAATGCGAGGATCGTTCTTGTTGGAGTGACGTCACCATTGTGCGTGCTTGTGATTGGATGAGGGAAAAGGAAGGGGTGACTGAGAGGGCGTAACCTAAGGGGTGAGGTAAGGTATAAACGTCGGAGGATTCGCACCATTTTATATCATAGACATCAGCGCTAAATTAGTGAATCATGCATGAGCCATTCATAGCTAATTAGCATTAATTAAAAGAACAATAGACTAATTAAGAGCTCCTTCCCGCATTTCCATCTTGAATTAGCAATTTTTCCTCTTTGATTGTCAGAAGAGCGGAAGTTTTCAGACGCTGCGAATGGATGATTTCAATTAATCGTCTTGCTTTTGATTGGTGAAAGAAGACCCATGCTTGGTGGTGATTGGGCAACTAATTAAAAGAGTGCGTTGTGATTAGTCGTGGGGTGTGGTGCATTGAGACGTGTAGTGAAGAGACTAAATATACACCAGGGTGGTGTTGAGATAAGGTATCACATTCAGCACTGAGCTATACAATTCGTACTTTGAAAGCATCTCTATAGCATATACCACACATAGGTCTAACTCTTCATATATAACCATGATGGCCACTCGCTCACCGAAAAAGTCTACCACTACAACAGCCACCATCCACAACACTGTGTTAAACACGCCAAAGGTCAGGATGATACCAGAGAACAACGCCACCAATGTCTTACATCGGGCCAGTTTTTCAATGTCTCCGGTGGAGCAGAAGAAGCTCAAACCAGCAACCCCTCCTGAAATCTTGGCAATGAGGGTAAGTGTCCATAGTCAAGTAATATACTGATTTGTTTTACAAATTCAATATATCATGTTATGCTATGTGTTATTAATTTTGTTTGTAAACTTTTGTAATTCGGCTTAACGCCGCGATGAAAGTTTTCTTTGAAATAAACCATTTTGAATTGATTTGATTGA